AGCAATACTAAGGCATTACTCAAGTGAAACTCAGACATACACAAGCAATACTCAGGCATTACTCAAGTGAAACTCAGACATTACTCAAGCAATACTCAGGCATTACTCAAGTGAAACTCAAACATTACTTAAGCAATACTCAGGCAAGACTCGGACATTACCTTAGCAAAACTCAGATAATTTTCGGAATACATTCAGACAGCGTTCAGCTGTACTCAGGACTCAGAAAAGGCATCTTAACGAGTGCTCAAAACTCAGGTAAAGCGCTTGGAAGTTCTCATCCGAACGGCACGTTGTGTAGAAGTTAGGGTTTGGAACAGTGTGCTACCTTTTGCAGGTCGCTACTTAACTATTGCTCAATTGTTATCCCATCGCCAATCAGTGGGAAAAACATATTTTGAACAAATGCTCAAACAATTGTCCAGAACAACAATCAACTGGGAACAATAGTAAACAAACTACATTCGTCCAGTACCCATCAGCTGTCATTCAAGACATTTGTATCTTGAATGATAGGTGGTTAGCTGCCCAGAACTCGGGGCTCACCATCGTGGGATCTGAGTGTAATAGAGGAGACATGAGGGACGACGAGATCCTAATAGTAAAGAGCACACTAGTCAGAGAAAAGAAAAAGGGATGGGAAGAAGAGGCGAGTCAGGACATGAAGTTGTACCAGCATACCCAGAGGGAACATGTTGTTCAGATCGTGGGTGAGAGGAAATTTATAGAGTACGTACTTTATTTTTTCGACTGTCAGGGTAATTTGCACAGTATTGGATCCTTATTGGAGTCCGTGGAACAGGCAAAAGAGAGGCTCAAGTGAACACTAAAAGTCTTTAAGTTACACTTATGTTTCTAAGTAAGCAGAACGTTTCCCAGCAACTTGCAGTACTACAGATACCTTATGATTGCCAATCACCCCTCTACTCTGTCCCTTTTTCTCTCTCTCTTTCGCTTTTCTGTTTCCACTTCCTACTTAGGGTGATCGTTGGACAGATACGCGGAAAGCTCATCAGAGCAGGCCGCCACTAGTGAATCGTCCATTAGTTTGCTGTAATCCTCTTATTGAGACCATGCTGTAATCCTCTGTTCGGGACTCTCATCTGCTGCTGATCGCTACGGGGTTCAGAGTGCAGATCTCCTGGCTCGAGATTAACACAGCGGAAAACCTATGGGAGAAATGGGGGAAAATGATACAGTTAGAGTGACTTGTTCGTTGCACCAAGTCATAGCAAGGGATTGGAGAGAGACGACAACCGATGAATATAATCACCAGACTACCATCATGATGGAGCATGCGCTGACGCTCGTGAGAAACCATACAAAAATTGAATATACCTACTTCTTGTATGACAAGAGCAGAAAATTGTGTGCAACCATGTCATTTGTGGGTTCCGTTGAGGAGGCACGGGGAACCATTTGCAGATACAAGTAAAACAAAACTGCACCGGACAGAAAATGAGTAAGAGAAGATTGGATCAAGTTGGAAACTAGTAGCTACCAGAAATACTGCAAACCTGCAAGACACGAGGATAAATGGCAAACAGTTATGACACAGTAATCACGGACAAATCAGCAATTCAGAAAATAATCATCCATTGACTCAGCAACCAACAATCTCAACAGTAGTCAGTTCTGCAACCAGTAATCTCAACAGTAGTCAGTTCTGCGGCAAGCAACCAGACCGGTAACCGGGTCAGCAGTCAGTTTTCAGCAATCAGTTTTCAGCATTCAGTTTTCAGCATTCAGTTTTCTGCAATCAGTTTTCTGCAATCAGTTCTCTGTAATGATCTGGTCGGTTTTTGCGCTGGCAAGGGTACTCATGTGCACAGTTCAGTCTACGCCGGTCAGTGAGTCAGTGCTGGCCAGCCTCAATCGGATTTCATGCAAAGAGGCATTTCGTTATCAGTATGTTAATGCCATTGTTTTCAGACAAGGAGATCTGTCGATCTTCGTTGTCCAGACCAACTTTGCTGACGGTACTATCCACGACTTGAGGCCATACCTGAAGAAGCGCAAGGAGACTCATGGGCATTTCGATCTAGTCTGGATCTCAGCCACCAAGTACCTCAAGCAGAGAGAGAGGGAGCTCGATGAGGTTTACACTACGCTGATCCGCAACTTTGGCCCAAAGCTTTATACTAACTATCAAAGACCTCCCGTTCCCGTCTTTCTCACAGATGGCACAAGTTGGCTTGATATGATCGACTTGGCAAAGAGGTATATCTCTCCACCGGTGATCGACATTGAGGCACTGACTGAGCCCACCGAGTATCCCTACCTCAGACGAGGAGTCTTTTCGGTGGATGGACTGCCTACTTTGTGGGAGGAGTTTTGCTCCATGGTTAACTACCGTGTCATGTATCTCGGATGGTCATGCTCAGAGCTTGCTGGCTTCAGGTGGCATTGTGTCACGAAGCCTCAATCTCAGACTGTACGTGGGCGTGGGTCACGACACCAGAGATGATCAGTGAAAAGAGAGATTGAGAGAGACTCACCAGAGGGATTAGTGAGGACTCTTGAGAGGTGATGACCATGCTCGTTTATGTGTACTTTCTGAGATTATTATGAGTTCTCATTCATCCTTCATTCATTAGATCTAGTCCTTACTCGAGTCAGTCAGTCTCGCTTCTTTGCATTGTCATGCTTTATGTTTGCACTCTTTGACGATCTTGTCAAAGTTCTCAAAAATCAGAATGGCACAATTGGTGTATGCATAGCACCCCATAATTTCTATGATTATTTATTTGCATGATGTTCAGCTGTTCCGAATCAAAATAAAAGATTTCTAAGACCGGGAACCGGTGAAGACCGTAATTGAAGGGTCTCGCTCGAAGCCGGACGCACACAACAGGAAGCGATTTGCATTATTTAATTTATTTATTTATTGCAGTCACATACAAAATCTTGCGTGACAGCCTGTTGACTTTCCGGTCGCTTGAAGTGGCCTGACTGGGAAAAGTGCGACAACGTGTACGCGCGCGCACGAGAGAGAGAGAGAGAGAGAGAGAGAGAGAGAGAGGGAGAGAGAGAG